GGCGGCCCGACGCTACGGTGGACCCCCTCCTCACCCCTCAGCGACCCCTGACCTCTTGGACACTCTTCTGTAAAATGGGGCTGAGGAACACCTGCCCGTGGGGTTGCTCAGGGCACACAGCAAAGCCACTGCACCCCAGCCTGGCAGGTCAGTGCCAGAGTCAGCACTGTGGCGGCCCGGACACCTCGGTCGGCGATTAACAGCGAGACGGGAACCGGGTCAGAGCGGCTGGCTGCGCTCTCCTTTCCTGATGTTTCTCTGTGCGTCACATTTAAGGGCCCAGACTCAGCCTTAACTGAGGCCAAAGGTGGTAGTTTTGAGTGGAGGGTGGCTTTCAGAGAACGTTCAATTTTCCCAAGATTAGGACATTCAGGGAAGAGGAAACAGAAGGTCCAAGAAGATCCCTGCAGATCTGTCCGAGGAATTGTTTCTCCAGCCTATCAAGGGGACATGGACGACATGGGCTTGCGCTGGGGCTCTGGGTGACCGTGACTGCTGCAGCCACGTACCCAGGGGGCCTGAGCGCCTCTCTTTGGACTCCTGGGAACTCTCCCTGGTAAGCTCACTGGGTCCTGGGATGCACTTAGGGTCAAACCTGCGGAAGGGCTTGCGCCGGCAGTGGGACCGGGCTGCTGGTTCCAGCCTGGGCCTGTGGTGTGGCCTGGCATGCCAACTCCCAGTCCCCTCCTCTGCCTGCCCCTGGGAGAGAGGCAGACGAGGACCCCTCCCTGCCAGATAAAGCCATTGATTCAGACTCGAGTGGGACCTCCAGACAGGGGAGGCCTCGCCTGAAGGGGAGTGATGGGGACTGTGGACGTTCACTAAGTGCCCACCGGGTGCCCAGCTGACAGCTGGGGAGGAGAGTCAGCTGCCGACTTTGTCCTCGAAGTTCAGAGATGGCCACACCTGGATACTCCTGGAGCTGTAGCTCAGGGGAGATAGAGTGCAGCCTCAGTAGAGAGGCCAGGACAGGTGGCGTGGGAACCCAGGGGATGGTAGGGTCACCCCAGCCGAGAGATCTGAAGAGGTTTCCTGGAAGAGGTGTTCTGAGCTGGGCCCACAGGCTAAGAAGCCGGGCAGGAGGTGGTGGCTGGGTGGGGACACCCAGGTGGTGTCCCAGGTGGCTGGGCAGAGATTTGGAGGTGGGAGAGCCAGGTTGAAGCAGGGTAGGTCAGTGTGGGCATTGAGGGCGGGCGGCTGGGGTCGAGAGCCATGCCCGCAGGGCACGGGCCAGCCAGGCCAGGAGCGGAGGACTGAGGCCATGCTGGGCAGAGAACTGGCTCCGTCTCCCTCCTGGCTTCTCCGAAGCCCCTCTTACCCCTAATGTGAGCTGCGGGGCATTTTCTGATTGTAAAATTGACACCTGTTTATTGCGAAAACAATCGGAAACGTTGAAGAGTGTTGGCTGGGGAATACACATCCTCCACCGAGCCTGCCCAGAAATAATCCCGGTTAACATTGTGACGCAATTCCTTCCAGTCTTTTTTCTGTTCTCCCGCGGGCAAACTTCCCTGCTGGGTTTTCATTCCACTGTATTATTTCGTAACTTCTTATTTTTCATGTAAAAACATGTTATGATATCTTGCCATCCGATTGCTTTTTTAAGCACCTTTTGAAAAGGTAAAACGTATCCATTTGGGATGGAAAGATCCTAACCCAACCCAAACCACAGTGAGAGGCAGTTAGGATGGGGAAGGGTGGTCCCCAGGGGTTCCCAGGAGCTCTGGGCTCAGTGTCAGGGTGGACGCCACCAGGAAGGTGTTCCAATATCTCTTGGGAAACCAGGCAGCAACATCCTAGCATCCTGTTTCCCCTCCTGCAGGGTCAGCTCTCAGTCACTCTTGGGTCTTCAGTTTATCTGATCACGCCCTGCACAGTGGCCTCCCCCAGCGACCTCCTACCTCCTCCCCCGCCCCCTCCCCCCGGTTTATTTCCTTCAGAGGAGTTGCAGTTTATTCGTTATCAGTTCCCACCTGCCCCCTCGCAGGAGCATCCCAGGGGGAAGGGAATTGTGCCGGGTCCGGAGCAGGTGCTGGTCAGCCAGGTGTCGAATGAGTCCCGCTGCGCGGCCCCTGTGCTCAGGAGGGCCCTGCCCTTGTTTTAATGCTCTGATCATTTTGGAACAAAGGTCCTGCCTTCTCATTCTGCGCTGCCTCCACACACGATGCTGCCGGCCCTGCTGTTGCCCGTTCAAGTCTGGGCTGCTTAGCAAGGTGGCTTCTCGGGGTCCTCCCGCCGAGGAGGGTGCCTCCCTGCTCTGGGCTGACCCTTCCCTGGCCCGGGGTCACCCTGCTGCAGTCTGGGATGGCTGGATCCTTGCCGTTCTGACCCGTGGCTCCCTGAGCTAGGTGAGGGCTGGGGTAGGGTGGGGGTCTTCCTTTCAGCTCTTCCTGGGTGCAGACCAAAGTGGGATAGGTCAGTGGGCCCCTCTCCTGCCTTGGGGTCTCGGGCATCGTGGTCCTGTGCAGGGAAGAGGTGGAGTGGTGAGACCTGAGTTCTGGGTCCATGGGCCTCTAATGCACCATGTGACCTTGGGAGAATCCTTGAACTTCATCTGGAAAAAATGACCTGTTGCAGAGTTCCAACACAAGAATGGATGAAGGATACACTGTAAACTGTGAAGTGCTACCTGCGTCCCAGAGGCTGGGGGAGGGTCAGAAGGCATTGTGAACCTAAACTGCTTTGCAGAGAGCAAAACAGTCCGGGCGAGGCAGGAGTTCTTACTTGGTCCCCACGGACACTTCTCCAGAACGTTCTCCAGGCGAGTCCCTGCCTTGCCCCTGCAGCATCAGCAGAGGGACCCCAGGCCAGAACCCAGGACCCCTCGGACGTGTGGATGCCCGCAATGTGCTTCCCCGAGGAGCACCCCCGTGGCCTAATTTGAGGAAACAATGGGCCTCAATCCATATTAATGATCCTCCGGGGACCCGCTTGGCGCCTTTGTCTTTGGCGTGCACTGGCTGTCATCAGCGGGGCTCTGGGGGCTCTGGCCTAATTTGGAGGGACAGGTTTTATCATCACCCTTGATTCGGGTGGCCCAATCTGACAGGCCTACGACCTCCTGTGTAGAAGGACTACGTCAGAGATGGCCTTCTCCCCAAGCGGCTCAGCCTGGAGGTCCGGGGAAGAAGGAGGGGGAGTACGGGGCGAAGCAGGGGCCGCAGCCAGCCCCCTGGGGCAGGCCCACACAGGATCCAGGAGAGGAGGGCGCTGCTGATTGGACCAGAGAGTGGCGAGGGCGCAGGTGCCCCCACCCGGACACATTTTCCAGCCACCCACTAGCAAGCCAGGGGACCGGCAGGGCCAGGGCTAGGCTCCTGGGAGGGGCCGGGCAAGAGCGCGGGGGCCTGGCTCTGGGCGATCTGGCTCACGGGAAGGGGGAGGGCAGCATTTGGCCGGCTCCTGCCTGAAATCCCCAAGTGAAGTGTTTGCACGTTTGGGCCATGGCTTCCTAACTGTACATGTGAGCGTCTGACAGGTGCCAGCACGTGACAGGTATTCCCTGTTTACTTCCCTCGACCACAGGAGGATGCCAGACTGCTGTCCCTACATTCCAGGTCAGGAGGTGCACTTGAGGTCATAGGGCTGGAGAGGGTCAAGCTGAAGAGACAAACCCAGGGTCCAGCACTGAGTCCTGCGACCTGGCCTTGCCCACCCAGAGTCCACCGCAGCTCCCTGGGTCTGCACATGTGGCTGCCGTGTCCACTTCCTGGAAGATTTGAGTCTAAGTGCTGGCTGTGGACTGAATGTCGTGCCCCCCCATTCATATGTTGAAGCCCTAACCCCTAGTGCGATGGTATTAGGAGACAGGGCGTTTGGGAGGTGATCAGGCCATAAGGGTGGGGCCCTGTGATGGGATCAGTGCCCTTACAAGAAGAGACCAGAGAGCTTGCCTCTCTGTCTGCTCTGCCCTGTGAAGACATGATGAGAAGACTCCTATCTGCAAACCAGGAGGCTGACTCTCTCCAGACACTGGATCTTGGATTTCCAGCCACCAGAACTGGGAGATACAAAAGCCCCCCGGTCTGTGTATTCTGGTGTGGCATTCGGTGCTAAGACAGTGTTTCATTTGGGAGGTGATCCCAGTACACGTCAGAGGGGGGTGGAGCAGGTGTTCTACTGGGCAGGGCTGGGCTAGCAGACTAGGCTCCAGGTCTGTTCAAGGACCCCATCCTCCTTGGGCCAGTGGGCCACCTGGGCCCCTTCTCGTGTGCTGGTGGAAGCTTGGTGCAGGGACACCCAAACCTCTGCTCATCCCACGGTGCGGCCCTGCCTCGGCGGGGAAGGCATATCCTGCCCTAGGGTAGCACATTCAAAGCCGCATGGCAGAGGGTGTGGAGACCGGGATCCATGGGGCAGTTACCACGGCATCCTCCTGATTTCCTGTTTGCTTTCAGGACAAACTCCAATGTTTCACCGAGGCCAGTGAAGCCCTGGACCATACTGCTCTGGTCTCTTCTTCCCTCATCTGGCTGCCTCATCCCTGCACACGGGCTCTTGTCTCCCTTCTCCTTCAATGGGGTTCCCACCTCTTCCAGCTTCCTGCCCAGGGGCCCCGTCCTCCAGGAAGCCTTCCTGGACCCAGGTCCGCAGCTGGGGCTCCCCTTTGTACCTCCATCTTAACTTCTGCCATCTCTCCCTCCATACCCTCCTGACACGTACCCGTGCCATCTCTTCTATTGGATGACAGTCTCTCAAGGTCAACAAATGTGTCATTACCCTTCTCACCCCCAGGACCAACAGAGTTTCTGCCACATAGGAGTTGCACCCCCAAATAATGGAGGGATAAACGGATGAAGGAGACGAATGGACCATACCTGTTGTGGCGTTTTCTGACCGAGAAGAAAGGCAGTCTGTACAAAGATGTTCAGCTGTCTCAGCCAGAACTCCTTTTGCTTGCTTCCCAGTCCTATGCCCGCCCTGGGGGTGGAGACCCAGAGGGAGAGAAAAATGATCCCCATCCAGAAATCATTGTTAAAGATGACGCCGTGCCCCCAACCCAGCGAGACAATCGAGTGTTGTTTTTTGATTAATTTAGTTCATTTCAATTCAGTTCAGTTCATTCAATTCAGCTCATTTCACTCTCATCCCGTCCAGCTCAGCAAGTGCTTTCTGAGTACCTCGGAGGGGTACTCGGAGGGGTGGTGGGCTAGCCTGGCCCTGTGTGTATCCTGGGATACAGGAAAGTGGGGCCCTGGGGGCCGGGGCTCAGAGTTGGCACTCTGCTGCTTCCACCACATCCTGTTGGTCAAAGTAAGTCACCGCTGGTCCAGATTTAAGGGGTGGGGAGACCCGCCCCCGTCTTGATGGGAGGTGCTGCAGTCTCCCATCACCAAAGGCATGGTGGTGGGTGTTGGTACCCAGTCAACCACAGGATACAGAGAATTGCCAGGAGGAGTTGCCAGTTTGGGGGTTTCCCACCTGCCCTGTCGCCTCTGCGCCGTCACCTCAGCACCTCCCAGCCTGCACGTGGCCTCACTGACCCCATTTTTCGGGCAGGGATGAAGCTCTAAGAACATGTCCTGTCCTGGTGCCAAGGCTTAGGTCCCACACTGGCTGAAAGGCTCTGTCGTGGTTCCAGGTCCCCCAGGAGGAGGATTCCCAGTAGGTGGGTCCTCAGGGGAGGCGGGGGCCTCCCCGTCCCAGCCCACTGCTCCTGGGACATGAGGCTCACGGGGGTGCAGCCAGCCTGGCCCCAGGCCTCGGTCAGTTGGGGTGATCTCTGAGGCCTCTCTGCCTAGCGGGCTCTGCAGCCACCGGTGAGGGACCGAAATGCCACAGCCGACAGCATCGGGGGTGACAGCTGACAGCAGGTGACCTCTCAGACCAAGCGAAGTGTACTGGAGCGGGGCTGGGACTTTGGGCTCTCTGGTTGACCCCCAGTTTCTCAGCAGGCTCACATATGAGTGTGTGAGTCCAGCCTCACTGGCCAGGCAGGGGCAGGCCTGTGATGCTCTGGGAGCCATGCTTTCCTCCGGCCCAGGTCCCCGAGAGCAGGGCAGCCTCGCCGGCCAGCGACCATGTGATCGCACGGGGCAGCCGTCCCAAGGGCTCCGTGCCAGGTGCCGTGCCGAGCTGTCCCGTCTAGAATTGGTCACCGTTTTTGAACTGGGGCTGCATTTTCATTTTGCTTCGGCCCCTCCAGCTACGTAGCCAGTCGTGCTGTGAGGGCTGTGTCAGGTGGGACCCAAGCTGCTGGCAGACTCCCCTCCCCCAACCCCCTGGAAGCCACAGGTAGTAGCACCCCCTTACCCACCCATTAAAGCACCGGGCAAAGGGGCAATGAATGAATTGCGAGGGAAGGGATGGACGAGTGAGTGGTGAATGGACACCAAAACAACGTAATCAGCTGGACTGGGTTTTGCTAACTATGCACTTCCCAGTAAAGGGCTGTAGGACTCAGACCTATGGGAGCTGCCACTTGTCTGTCCCGGGCCTGGCAGGGCAGAGCCCCATCTGATTGCTGACAGTGCCTAAGGAGACCCTGCTTTCCCCTCCAGCATCCCTCCCCCAACCCGCCCCGGTGCCCACCCTGCCCCAGCCCTCCAGCCCCCCGGTAGCCCCCAGACCGACTTGGGGAGGAGGGGACGGCCACCAGCCCGGCCGGCCAAGTGTCCCCGTGGGGCAGGTGGCGTGGTGGCGCCCTGGCCGTCCGACGCGGGCAGCTTTCATCCCGGCCGAGGGGCCTGAGAAAGCGTGGGGACAGCTTTATCCGGGCCGCAGCTCGAGCAGCCTCCTGAGAAGTATTGACAGAGCATTACTCAGACTGACACATTCTGTTTCCCTCGGGCGCGGACAATGAGGAAGAGCCAGTTAAGGATATGGCTCCGGCCTTGTGCGCGGCTGAAGGTTTTTTGAGAAAAATGTAATAGATGACAATAGAGCAGTTTGTCGCGGTCGAGGGCATCGCGGACGGGGCCGGAGCGGCGGCTTCATCATCACTTATGATGAGAGGAGATTTACTGCCTTCTTTCTTCCCTCTGTCAGGGAGAACAATGTCGGGGGAAAGCGGAGGTTCCCCATTATAAATCACCATAAGCCCCATGGAAATCCCTCCCCACCCCGGGGTGTGAGTAGGCAGACGCTGAGCCCTCGGCCGGCTCGGGCCGCCTGGACGGCGGGCGGGCGGGCGGGCGCAGGGATGCTGCCCGGGCCCCCACCCGTGGGAATCAAGGCTCCAAAAGGCTCTGATCTCCACCCCGAGAAGCAGGCACATGCCACGGAGAATGAGAAAGGCGAGGCCTGCCCACCCCTTCAATTAGAGAAAGGGGAGCAGAGACACAGGGGTGCTTGCAGCTCCATCCTGGGGCCTGGCGGGGGGGGTGTCTCGGTGGGTAGGGGGGCGACTGAGGGAACTTTGTGCAGCTTAGCGTGTCCTAGATGGTGCGATCAGGAAGGCCCGCTGGGCTTTACCTCGGCCTGCATTTTACAAACAGAAAATTAAAGTCCAGAGAGGGGCGGACACCTGCCCAGGATCACACAGCAGTTTGGTGGCAGAGCTGGCCAGGGCTAGGATCCGGGCCTCCTGCATCCAAGCCCACTTCCCGTGGGCTAGGGAGCCCCGCCCTCCCTAAAGCGCCGCTGGTTCCAGAAATGCCGAGGGATCCCCAGCAGCTTCCCTCTGTGTAGGGGTCTCCTAGTTCCCTCCCAGCAGCCTCACCTGGTGAGCAGAGCAGCTGCTTCTTCTTCCATCCCACTGCCCGGCAAAGACCTGCACCAACTTGAGCCCACACCAACAGGGAGGGGCAGGGCTGGACCTAGAACTGGGGGCTCCTGACCCCCAGGACTGACAGCAGGACCTCCCCAGCAGGACCAAAGACCACCCTTCGCCAAAAGACAAGACTTTGGGGATTTTAGAAAGGTAATTGGGTATGAATCCCATTCTATTATGCCACCCTCCCAGCGGGGGCCGGAGTGGTACCCCACTTTTAAATCTATGAAATGTAGGAATACCCACCTCGAAAGAGACAAAGATTTGACCGGCCAGGTGAAGTTTTGTTGCCGAAAATTGCAGGTCAATTTTTGATGCCAAGAACCGCATGAGGGAACTCTGGGATTCAGAGCTTTCTGGATTTTGGAACTTGGATCAGCGATGTGGGTCGGTATTCCTGGCGGCACAGCTGTTTATTCCCCAAAGCTCCACCCGCTGTGCTACATTTCTGCCACTCTTCGGTGTCCCCCCACCCTGGCCCCCTGGCCTCTCAGACACACACAGGGCAGCCACCACTGTGTTTCCTGGTTTTCTTCCTGGGTATCTGATGGAAAATAAAATCTAGCCTCTGCTAATGACTGCCCTGTGGTCTTGCTGGAGCCCCAGTTACTCCACCTATAAAGTGGAGGTGATAACCGCACCCACCTCACAGGGCTGCGACAGGATCAGAGGCAGTCAAGGCTTGGAACTCGTTGAGCGGCCAGCCTGGACTGCTCAGGAAACACTTTATTATTATTGTTGCTGTGTTGCATGGCCCCAGCCCGGTCACAGTGAATTCACCAAACAAACGCCTTCACGCTGCAGCCCCTCCCCAAGTCTGGAGGGGCTTCCGTGGGTCCCCAGTTTATTTCCCAGCCTTATCTCCCCCTTCAAGCCTTCATACCCTCTGGGCTCCCATCACTCCAAAGGTCCCTGTTCCCATCCCTGGTCTGTGAGTTCTGCCTCCAGAGATCATGTTTTTGGCTCATATGTTCCCCTCAACCTGGAATTCTTGTTGCCAGCCTCACGTGTTCTAGAACTTTCTTCCTTTATCAGGGAGCAGCCCACCTGTCCTCCCTGAGGGTGGCTCTCATGAACAGTCACTCAGGGTCCATGGTGTCCGGGGGGCAGGAGTGTCTCCGTATCCCTGTGGCACACAGGTTCTTGCAGTGGGGTAGGAGCAGGGCTGGGGGTGGCGTGTGTATGACAGAGTTTAAGGGCAGCCAACGCTGGCCAGGCACTCCCATCACCATCTTGAAACAAAGCACAGCCTGGGGACGTGTACACAGAGAGGGGGCACCAGCGGCATCACCTTTCAAGCAGATTAAGCCCCTTCTGGTGGTCTGCCCGCTGGCCACACCACCTCCCTCCTTCCCTTCCCCACCAGGCTCCAGCTGCTCTGGCCAAGCTTGGTCCCACTCAGGGATCTGGCCACCCAGAACCTTCCCAGGCCTGAGGTGTCGGCCCCATGAGGGTCTAGATCTAATCTGCTCTGGGTGCGGTCCAGGCATGAGGAATCTTCAGAGCTCCCAGGTGATTCTCCCATGCAGCCAGGTTTAGAACCTTGGCTCCAGGTAAGCTGGATTACCTGTCCTCCGTGCAAAACCCGGGACTCAGAGTTTAGCAAGTGTCCAGCAGCAGAGAATTGGGGTGGCTTTCCCGTGGAACCCAGTCCCAGGGGATGGTGGGGAGGGAGGGCAGCCCCATAAGCCTCAAGGCTAAAAGGAAGGCGACCCATCTTGGAAAGGGGGTTCGCCAACGGCCATGGGGGTCCTCTAAAAATAATTCAGGCTCTGCTCCAAGCCCTGGTTAAATGGGCGATGAGACCCCTAATTTCACTCTTCAGGTGAACTTCTCCCAAAGCCGTTGTTCCACACACTTATTTCCGGGCTTTGCTGGCAGAGAGCGTTCCCTGGGCAAAGCGGTTAAGGAGCTGGTGTTACCGGCCTTGAGCAGCCAACCCCACTCAGCGCCAGGGATGATCCTGCAACACCATTTTCACAAAGGCACGTGCAGATCGCCCCTGATTCTCTGGCCATAAAACTCTGCCTCCCAGATGCCGTGTTTTTCAGGAACTGGTTTCATGGAGCTGTGTTCTGAGAAAAGCTGCTGTCATCCTTCCTGCCAAGCCCAATTATTTTAAAAAAATCATTTCTTAAAACAATCTCCGGGCCAGTGCAAGTACAAGATCCAGCTTTGAACACTGAAACTGCCCCGTGAGCCTGCCGAGATGAAGTGGTTGAAACAGGTACCCACAGGTAATCAAGCAAGTTGAAACAGATTTGTTAACGCTCAGTTAGTGACATGTCGAAAGAAGTATGCTAAAAATGATGATTCCAGTTGCAGAAACATTGGATCTCTGTCCTTCCTCCTGACAGCAGTTAAATCCTAGGGCCAATCACCTTTTAAGGAGATTTCCAGCTGGTAACCAAATAATCACATCACTAGAAGGGTTAATATTTTTGACACATCCGCAGCTCTGAAGACTGAATATGGCAAAATAATATAAGTCCATAGAAAATTACCAGGGACGTGAAAAAAACTATTGAAAAAAGAAATACAGGCTGCTAACAGATGCATGGTCTGGGTTATGCTGTCATAACAAACATCCCCCAAATTTCAGGGGCTTAAAACTATAAAAGTTTATTTCTTGCTCATGCTACCTGTCAAGTGGAAAGCAGCAGGGTCTCTGCTCATTGTCAAGATCACTGGGGGAAAGGGTGGCAGAGGAAGGGTATAGAGACCCTGGCTCTCAGGATTGCATCCATGGGAAGTACAAGCCCTCCCTGAGCCCAGGAGGACAAACCCACCATGTGTGAACAACCCCACCATAGACCATCACCATGAAAAAAAATGCAAATCAGCGGCAACATGGATGGACCTAGAAATTATCATACTAAGTGAAGTCAGGCAGAACAAGACGAATATCATATGATATCACTTATATGTGGAATCTAAAAAAAACCCTACAGATCAACTTATTTACAAAACAGAAATAGACTCACAGACATAGAAAACAAACTTCTGGTTACCGAAGGGGAAGTGGGGAGGGATGAATTAGAAGTACGGGATTAACAGATGCACACCACTATACACAAAATAGATAAACAACAAGGATTTACTGTAACGCATAGGGAACTATATTTAGTATCTTGTAATAACCTAGAATGGAAAAAAAATCTGAAGCTGTACACCTGAAACTAACACAATATTATAAATCAACTATAGTTGAATAAATAAAATAAATTTTTTTAAAAAAATGCAAGTCAGAACAACAGGGAGACTTAACGCAATTGTTTGCCAAAGATTACAAAAACAAAAGCAAACGTGAACTAAAGCTTGCCGTTTCCCTTTCGGCAAACGCTCACCTTCTTTAGTGTACAGGGGTGTTTCATTCTCAATCAGGAGTTAGCAAACTACAGTTCCTGGATCAAATCGGCTGCTTGTTTTTGCACAGCTGTGAGTGAAGATGGTTAGTTAAATAATTTTTAATGCTTGAAAAACATTCAATTAAAAAAACATCAAAAGAAGAAGAATCGTTTGTGACACACGACAGCTACAGAGAATTCCCAGTTCAGTGTGCAGGGATGGGGACACTGGCACGCCCCTGCGTCTACAGCTCCTTCCAACAAAGGCAGAGTTGAGTAGTCAGGGACCACGTGTGGCCCACAAGATCGAAAATATGGATGTTTGGGGCATATGCTCCAGGATCCCAGCAGAACTGGGGGTGGATCCAGAGACGGGTCTTGCAAACTTGTAGGTGATTCAAGAGTGCAGCCAAGTGTAAAGGGCAGGTTCCAAGGCAGCGCCTCCCACCCACTCATGGCGCACCTGAGCACTGCGGTTGGGTCCCATCTGCAAGGGGGGCAGGGGCTTTGTAGAACCTTGTGGGTATGGGGGTTGCAAGGTTTGCATTTAGCTGTGCCCCACTCCTGCTGAGAAGCTGTGCTCAAACACAGCTTGAAGAAGCCTGGCCAGTAGACTGCTGCCTGCCTGTCTTCCCAGGCTTATCCCTTGCAGGAGGTCTTAGCCATACTACTGTCCCCAGGGATACTTTGAGACATCACCTTGTGCAGGGATGTTGTCCCGCTGCTATGCCTGCAGGCACCATCAAGTCAATCTTGACAAGAAACTCCTCTTCTTTTTCACAAGTAGCTGTAGTCCAGCATCTCCCAAGCAGCTTGTCTGTTTTATCCTGCATGTCTCGTTGACTGAATGGCAGAATGGTCTTCCCTTTTTGCATTGGCTGCCGGGGAGCTCAGAATCAAATTTGCCACTGTAGCCAGCAGCACATACAGAGGACCTCATGACATATATCTTGACCACTAACCCTACCTCTGTTTTGTCTTATGTGTCTCCCCCGTGTTTTCCTCACCGACTAAAAGTGACATAGTATTGTGCCCGCTCTGGTCCCGCCCGTCAGCTACCCGCAGGCTGGCCACTTCCCGTGCATAGTCAGCGGAACTGCATTTCCCACTGGCTGTGGCCTGCCTGGTCTCCCTGGCCTCCCAGACTCCTCAGTCTCTATACATCTCAGGCTCCACACTGCTTCCAGCCCTCGAGCCCCTCCTCCAGGAACCATCCTCGTTGCCACTAAAAGTTCTCAGGGTCACACAGATGACGTGGTTTGTGGCTCTGTGGCTGCTGTGCACACCTCTTTCCTACCCTAGATGGTGAGGTCCTGGATAGCAGCAGCTCACTGCAGTTTCTGTGCACCTGCCCGGGCCCCCAGCTCAGGACTTACCTGACCTCGGGGGCCCCAAGGGCAGTCTGCAGGGCCTGCTCCCAGGCTCCGGAGTGGTTGAGACGCTGCGTCCCCTAAAGTTCTGCTCTGTCCTGGGGTAGGGCCTGTGGACGGTCTGGGCATCTCAGGATTGAAGGGGCTCCTGGAGGCGTGAGTCACACCAGTGTCCACAGGGCCACCATGAGGGCATCTCTGGTACGTGTTCTGAGTCAGTCTGGCTCACACCTGTGTTACCGACCAGGGCTCTTGGCCCCCTTAATCAATAGAAATGGATCAGAGGCCAGACAAGAGATTCAGGCAAGGCTGTACTGGGGCCCCCGGTGCAGCAGGAGGGAGTGAGAACAAGTAACAGGTTCCCTCGCTCACTTCCCGAGGGGGGCAGCTGGTTCCTTCTATGGGGGACGGGTAGGGGTGTGTCCAGGGGCGACTTAGGGGGTTCGCCCAGCCCTCTGGTGGTGCTGTGTGCAGCGGGCACGCGCAGTGCCCTGCTTGGCTAACGACACCCTGAGTGGCAGTCGGGTTTTTGGTCTTTTTGTATCTTCTTGTCCATAATGTGCCCCAACTGCGCATGCTCGCAGTTATTTTTAGTCCCTTATAGTTTCTTTGTATTTTGTTGCTCAAGGAGACGTTTGTCCAGGTGCCAGCACGGCAGCACCACAGCCAAGGGTCCCAGGTCCCTGCCTGTCTCACCGAGGCCCCACCACTTAGGAGCTGTGTGACTCTGGACAACCCCCTTCCCCTCCTTGAGCCCCCCTTTTCTCCTAAGCAGGATAGGTAAGAAGAGCACATCCCCTCTCAGAGAAGGAAAGAGACAGGGCATAAAAAGCACCACGAACCGGGCATCGCACAGCAAGCCCTCAGGAGACACCAGCTCCTGTTATCCCCAGGGGTCCCTGGGGGCAGCAGCCCATCCTCTGCTCCTTTAGAGGCTGGCCAGGCAGAGGCCCCTGGGGGACCCACACTCTGGGAGCCAGGTGAGAGGGAGCCGGCAGCCACAGATCGAGACATGAGCAGAAACAGGATCTGGAACCAGAGGCGAGCCACGGATTCCCGTTGGGCCCCTGCTTGCCCACCTGCCCAGTGGGGCTGCAGCGGGACTCACCTTGCAGGGTGCGGAAGCTGAGCTGGGAAGGCACAGGTGACGCCTGTGTCATGTGCCCGCCCGAAAGGCGGCCGATGTGATGTGTAATGACGGGGTGTGGGGTCGCTCTGCGATTTCAGACTTCCCTCTCCCAGGCCCTCGTTCTACTCACCCCGTGGCCGGTGGGTTTCCAAGATCCTCCGGCCCAGCCTCCTCTTGGAGGACCCCAGCCTGGCGATTCAGAAGCCAGAGTGGACCCATTTCCTCTGCTCCAACTGGAGATGCGGGCTGGCCTGGCCCTGCGCTGTCAGCTGCTGGGACAGCTGGCTCCAGAGGGTGTTGCCGTGGAAACCCAGACTGATGTTCTCCTAAACAGCTGAATTATTTGTGGTTTCTCTGCCTAGTGTCCCAGCTGAGCAGGCCAGCACGGTGGCTGGGGGGTGATGGTGGAGGCTAAGAGCAGCCTCTGGGAGGGAGCCCCCTTCTGGGGCCCTCAGGCCTGCCTTGGCCTCTCCGCAGGGAAATGATCCAAAGACACTGAGATTTTGGGAGAGGGAGGAAGGGTGTGATGGGAAAAAATGTGCTGAGGTCATCAGGTTTGCTTCCAAAAGCGCTTCTGTGGGAGGGTCTGGGGCCAACATACTCCTCTGGGGTTGCTGGGGGAGGCTTCCCTTTGCCGACGGTGCCCACTCCCAGCTCTGTCGCTGGCGCTCAGTGCCCTGAGGGAGCCCTGGGCCCATGTGCAGGACACAGAGCTGAGGCTGATTTTCTTAGCTCATCCCAGCTCTGCCTCCGATTCGCTGTGTGACCAACAGCTCCCAATGCTTCTCAGAGCCTCGGTTTGCTTATCTGTGAAATGGGGACAGCATTTCTTGCGCAGCTTGGGATCGGGTGAGAAGGTCTGAGCTAGGGGGTCCTGAAAGCCAGAACAGCTGCCCCCTCTGAGGGGCGAGGGATTTTCCCACAATGGACCAGGCCTTTTGGGGATAAAGAGGGCTGTGCAGCATCTCCACTGCTTTGCTTTTAAGTTCGGAAAGTAACTGAAACCAGACTTATTAAGACCTGGACACCTTGCACCATAGACAGTTGAGCAGAGCCTGCAAAGGGCATGGCCACTGGGAGTGAGTCAGACGGTGAATCTCCTGGGGGGAGGGCGCCCACACTGCCGGCTTGGAAGCCTCCCTGGCCCCTGAGCAACCAGGGTGGCCACAGTGGGCTGGAAGCCAGACCCCATATTCGTCTCATCCGCATGAATGCGGGAGTGGTGGATGGCTGACTGGCACGTGTAGAGACGGGCTTCTCAGCTGCACCATCTCTTAGAAGCCCTTCCAGCAGGGAGAGAGAACGAGGCCTTAAATGGCAGGAAACTAACCTCACATTCTAGCCAGGAGAGCAAATAAAGCACACGTGGCACCCCTGCAACCCCCCCCCCCCCCCCGGCAGATATCACTAATTTATCACAGCGCTCGTCCCTGCAGATTCTAGACTCCCTTCTCAAATCACCCTCAGCCCAGGATGCCTGGCTAACACCCATCGACCAGGTTTGCTCGTGAGATAATCCTATTGGCCGTCCCCGAGCTGGACGCTGCATGAGGTCCCTTCGGCATCACTGTGCACAGATGACACCGGCCTCTAGGGTGTGGGGCTGGCATCGCCCCAGGTGCCTGCTGTGATTGCCGTGTAGGTTGTCCATGCTCTGAATTTCCCCCTGGGGCTGAGCGTCCCTCTGCTTCCCCAGGGAGCTGAATTTGCTGATGAGTCAGTGCAGAGCAGACTTTCTCAAACCCTGCGGAGCCTGCAAATCGCCTGGGGAGTCTTGTTACATTCTGAGTTAGCAGGTTTGGGTCTAGCAAGGGTCCCACCTTTCTAACCAGGTGCCCGGCCATGCCAATGCTGCCAGGTGGAGCAGAGAGGATGCAGATAACACTCAAATAATGCAACAGAGTCAGAGAACGGAAAGAAAGAATGCAAGAAGGCAGAGGCTGCGTCCAAGACTCAAATTTTGATTTGACGCAAGCATTTGGGAGATGCTCTTCCGTGCTCTGCTGGAAGAGGGATCTGTAGAGAGCCAAGGCCCCTTCTTTACCTCCCCAGGAGCCTTTGCTCCTTCCCTGCATTTTTTGACTCCAGTTGGTGCAGGGGAGAGGAATGGAGGGTGTGGTTTGGACCCCCAGAAAGCATCCATCCCCTTCCCACGACTTGGGGAGGGTCGGGCCAGTTGAGGGTTGGCCTTCAACTCCAGGTGGCCTTTCTTGGTGTGCCTCCTGCCCCGGGTAGGAACTGGATTTCTCCTGCAGCTATACCAGGCTCTTGATTCTGAGGACCACTTCCCTTTTCCGATGCAAGAACAGTGACTTGGGGTGTAGAACCTGTTGCAAAACCATTGTTCTAGTTCCTATGGTTGTATAACCAATGAACCCACACTTAGCTCACCATTTGTTAGGCGCATGGGGTCTGTGGGTCAGGAATTTGGACAGGGCATAGCAGGGAAGGCTCACTCACTCACACTTCAGGCAGTTAATGTGGGGCTGTCGGCCAGAACACCCACGTGTGGTCTCTTCACATGCCTCAGGCTTCCTCCCAACATGGTGAGTGGATTCCACGGGTGAGCACTGGAGGGGACAGATTGAGGTGGAAGCCGTGTGGTTTTTATGACCTGAACTTAGAGGTTACACAGCCTCACTACTGCCGCAGTCTATTCAAGACAGTCACAGTTTCAAGGGGAAATGGACTCTGCCTCGTGATGGGGAATGGCAGGGTTCTGGAAGAAGAGGTGGGCTTGGAAGTATTGCTGTGGCCATTTTGGGAAAATATGATATGCCACAGGCAGCCCTCTGGCCTCAACAATTGACATCCCTCCCACATGCAAAGTATCCTCCTCATTTCACCTGTGATGTCCGCCTCCCCCCAACTCTCACTCCATCACAGCATCAGGCTCAAGGTTCAGGATCCTGTGCTCACCATCCTCTCCAGGTGAACAATGCTACTCGGATGTAGTTTCCTGGACACAGCTCCTCCGTACAACTCCACAAGGAGCAACCAGGATCTGGAGAGTTATCTGGTCCTCACACCCAAAGAGAGGAGTGGGACAGGCAGAGGAGAGCGGCATAGAACTCCCAACTGACAACAGGGAAAGATGGGAGCCATCGGTCCATAGCAATTCTGAGATCCAGCCGGAGCACATGTTGTCTGTTTGGGGGTCAGTCCCGCTGCCTGGGGATGCATCACTGTGGCTTTAGGCTCTGTTCTCTGAGTCCACCATCCTCTTCCATGGAAAGCAATTGTGTCCTTTTCTCAGCTCACCTCTTGCCCATAGAAGTTTGGGGGTCCAAAGACCTCTTTTTGTTTTGTTCTGTCTCTGTTAGTCTGAGTTGATACAATTCTTTTAAAACTTTGTGGGTTTTTTAATGAATCAACTTACAACCCATTCTGTTAGACAAGATAAGGCGAGACAAATCTCTTCCAGATAAGCTCTTTTCGGGCTTCCCTGGTGGCACAGTGGTTGAGGGTCCGCCTGCTGATGCAGGGGACGCAGGTTCGTGCCCCGGTCCGGGAAGATCCCGCATGCCGCGGAGCGGCTGGGCCCGTGAGCCATGGCCGCTGAGCCTGTGTGTCTGGAGCCTGTGCTCCGCAGCAGGAGAGGCCACAGCAGTGAGAGGCCCGCGTACAGCAAACAAAAAAACAAACAAAAAAAGATAAGCTCTTTTCTACCCCAAGCTTCCTCTGGCACTGCCATGGGAAATCTCTCTGAAGATTGATGAATAATGTTTTATGTCATGGCGTGGACTTGTGAGTGACGCACTTAAGAGCCTTAGAGCCCCTCTTGGTTGTTACACAGCTCTCTGGGGCACCAGCTTAGACCTTTTGAGATCTGAACAAAGGCTCTTGTAACTCCAGCCTGAATTTGATCTTAGCTCTAGAGCCTTTTCTTAATCTGGGAATATCAGAGACGTTGGTGATGAGAAATGGTTTGATATTCAAATCCAGCAAGTCTTGCTTCCTCTATACTTAGCAGTCCTTTCTCTAGCTGGTCTCTATTCTCTTACTTTTATCACAGGCAGCAAGAGGAAGACCAGCAGCATTGTTAACCCTTTGTCTAGAGAGTTGACAATGACATAGAGGTAAGGTCTCCACTTTTTATAACTCTGCCTCCCAGGTGGGCTGCAGTCTCAGAGCAGTGTGGCATGGTGGCTAAGATGCTGAGAGGACCCTCACCTTTTTGGCTGGAGGAACAAGTGGAAGGAGCCCAGGCAGCCATGCCTGCCATTGAAGAGAATCCAGAGTGGGGGTGAGGTGCAGAAGAATTCTATGAATGAAAACACACAAATCTCATGCCTACCCAGACCACACGAACAGAGGAAAGAGAACAGCAGAGCAAAGGCTTAAAGACTTGAACAGAAATTGTAATCATCATCCACAGGAGGCAAGAAAGAGCTTACAGTGTGAGTCTAACCAGGTTAACCGCCAGCTTCAAAAAACAATCAGCATTCTTCCATGGAATGTAACAAAACCCAGAGTCAATACAACACAATATTTACAATGTCTAGAATATAACTCAAAATTACTTGACACACGAAGAACCAGGAAAAGGTGACCCATTAATAGTCAATAGATGCCAACCCCCAAATGCTGGAATTACCAGACAAAAAATTCAGAGCGCTGTTGTAATTATGGTCAATGAGGTGAAGGAAAAAACTGATTGAAAAACTTATAAACCTCAGTGGAGAAGTAAGAAATATAAAAGTGAACAAAAAGGAAATTTTAGAAGTGACATATGGAATACTAAAAAGTATTCGAATAGTCCAAAAAAAGGCAGAAAGGGGGAAATGAAAGAATAAAAAATAGAGGGTACAAATAGAAAGCAAACGCTAACGTGATAGACCATTTCAATAATTACACTAAATATTAATAGTACAAACATTTTAATTAAAAGGAGTTGTCTGAATAGAAAAATAAGGCTCAATGTTATGCTCAACTCTAAGCCCATAAGAAATGAACTTTAAACATAAGCACAGAATGAAAGAAGGCTAGAGTGACTATATTACTATCAGGTAAAACAGACCTCAAGATAAAGAGTGATAATTGCGATAAAAAGGGATGTTGTATGATAACAAACAGGATAAGTCACAACACTTTAAAATACATCTCCACCTACTAGTAGAACCTCAAAATGCATGAACAAAGATTGGCAAAATTAAAAGGGGAAATAACTGGACAATCATAGTAAAGTATTCAACTTTCCCTCTCTCTATAATTGATAGAACTAGACCCCCATCTCCCCCCCCAAAACCCCCCAAATAAATATATAGGAGATTTTAAAAATCTCCACCCTGACCTATAAATTGATATTTACAGAAAATGCTTTCAACAGTTACAGAATAAATTCTTTTCCAGTGCCATTGTACGTTCACCAAGATAGACCATATGCTGGTCCATAAGATATGTCTCAATAAAGTTAAAAGTTTTGAAATCCTCAATAATAATAAAAACATATTCAAATGTGTGGGAA